AAGAATCCAATTTATTGTTTCTTTTTCTCCTGCTTTTGTTTAGATTGTTTAGATCTAGACAGAGTTGCCAAGTGATACAGTGACTCCTCTTTGGATCCTGTTGAGGTAACTGGGATGCCACAAAGCACTAGGGGAATGTTCTAGGCCTAGCTTTAAGTGGACAGTGCTTTCAAGGGTACATGTTACTCGGAGTCTCTGGGCCAGTGACTTATCTGGCTAAGGGTGTTAATTGGCATGTATTTAGTTGTTCTCTCTCTTCTTTTTTTCTGTTAATTTTTCATTTTTGTGGGTACATAATGGATGTATTTCTTTTGTTATTTCTGATTCAAGATGAATCTTAAGTTCGTTTCTACTATATTTTTATGAGATTTCTGGAGGCCTTTGTGACCTGTGATAAGGGATTTCCCAGCCATTGGCTATGAGGCTGTAGGTGCTTCATCAGTTTTCCATCTGAAGCTGAAGGGCACAATCTCTTGGAGATTCCCTGAGTGAGGAGACATACACTCAGAGATCTAGAAGGATTTTAGGCAGCTCTGCATAGTACTTGAAAGTAATTCCTCTTTGTTCCCTAGATGTTTCTTTTTTACAATGATTTTTTGGCTGAGATCTTTGCTATCTTAGATAGTGGTTAGTTCTTCTCTAAAGAGCTTATTTGTTTTTAGTAAATCAGTTGATTAAAATTTAAAAATAGTTAATAGGTAATAAATGTTCGTGACACAAAATTCAAAAGGTAAAAAAATATATACAAAGAAAAGTTAGTCTTCCTTTCACTTCTATCCCCAGTCACTCAGTTCCCTAGTCATCCAGTTTCTTTCCCTGGAGGCAGCAACCTCTTAGCAGTTTCTTATAAGTCCTTTCAGAGACCTACAGCAGGAAGGGGAAATACTAGGAGAGATTTAATCTTTTCTCTTCTGATACTTTAAATCATTTTTAAATTTATCTTCTATTTCTAAGTTCTCCTCCTCCTCAGAAGAAGAGAGCATTGTACATTCATATCATTGAACCTTCTGAGAAGAGAACATTGTTATGTTCCTAGAGCATTTGGAAAGCAGATAGTCTTCTGAGACTAACCTAGTTCTTTAAATCGTCATTAATATAAATCTTGTGTTGGATGCCCTTGTGGACTGGGGAGGTGTTGTGGGTGTCAATAAATTTTTATTATTATGATTGTTACTATTTTGAGACGGAGTCTGGCTCTGTAGCCAAGGCTGGAGTGCAGTGGTGTGATCTCAGCTCACTGCAATCTCTGCCTCCCGGGTTCAAGTGATTCTTCTGCTTCAGCCTCCCGAGTAGCTGGGACTACAGGTGTGTGTGCCAGCACACCTAGCTAATTTTTGTATTTTTTTTTGGAGACGGAGTTTCCCTCTTGTTACCCGCGATCTCGGCTCACCGCAACCTCCGCCTCCTGGGTTCAAGCAATTCTCTTGCCTCAGCCTCCTGAGTAGCTGGGACTACAGGCACGCGCCACCATGCCCAGCTAATTTTTTGTAGTTTTAGTAGAGACGGGGTTTCACCATGTTGACGAGGATGGTCTCGATCTGTTGACCTCGTGATCCACCCGCCTCGGCCTCCCAAAGTGCTGGGATTACAGGCTTGAGCCACCACGTCCGGCCTTATTTTTAGTAGAGATGGGGTTTGACCATGTTGGTTAGGCTGGTCTCGAACTCCTGACCTTTTGACCTGCCCTCTTGGGCCTCCCAAAGTGTTGGGATTACAGGCGTAAGCCATCATTCCCAGCCTATTGCTTTTTTTTTTTTTTTTTTTTTAGACAGAGTCTTGTTCTGTTGTCCAAGTTGGAGTGCAGTGGCGAGAACATGGGTCACTGCAGCCTCGACCTACCAGCCTCAGGCAATCCTCCCACCTCATCCTCCTTAGCAGCTAGGACTACAGGTGTGCACTAAGACAAATGGCTAATTTTTGTATTTTTTATAGGGACAGGGTTCACCATGTTGTACAGGCTGGTCTCAAACTCCTGGGCTCAAATTATCCGCCCACCTTGGCCTTCCAAAGTGTTGGGATTACAGGTGTGAGCCATCGTGCCTGGCCCCTGGACAAAATTTTTACCCAGTTTCTTTTTCCTTTATCACAGTGGTTTTCATGCCTTTTACTTTCTGGGGGGCCTCATCTTATGCAAAATATACAAATGGAGCTACTTGCTGGGAAAATTTCTTTATATTTCTGGCTGTGTCTCAGTTTTCCTATCTGTTCCACTAAACTGTATAAATGCCTCAAGGGCAGAAATTATATACCTCTTATCATTATTAATGTTTAATTATATTGATAGTACAGTAATACATTCTCTTTGTAAAATAAAATTTTTATTTATTTATTGAGACAGAGTCTTGCTCTGTTGCCCAGGCTAGAGTGCAGTGGTGTGATCTTGGCTCCCTGCAACCTCTACCTCTGGGGTTCAAGCGATTCTCCTGCCTCAGCCTCCCAAGTAGTTGGGATTACAGGTGCCTGCCACCATGCCCAGCTAATTTTTCTATTTGTAGTAGAGATGGGGCTTCATTGTGTTGACCAGTCTGGTCTTGAACTCCTGACCTCATGATCCACCGGCCTCGGCCTCCCAAAGTGCTGGGATTCCAAGTGTGAGCCAGTGCGCTCAGCCTATTTATTTATTATTTATGTATTTTTTTGAGATGGAGTCTCTGTTGCCCAGGCTGGAGTACAGTGGTGTGATCTCAGCTCACTTTAACCTCCACCTCCCAGGTTCAAGCAATTTTCCTGCCTCAGCAACCCAAGTAGGTGGGATTATAGCTACTCCGGTTGCTGTAATTAATTACAGGAGCCCTGTATTCCCAGCTACAAAAACACACCCGGCTAATTTTTGTATTTTTAGTAGAGATGGGGTTTCATCATATTGGCCAGGCTGGTGTCAACCTCAAGTGATCTACAGACTTTGGCCTCCTGAAGTGCTGGGATTACAGGCGTGAGCCACCATCCCTGACCTCCTTGTAAAAAATTAAAGCATTACAGATCCACCTGGGCAACAAAGTGAGACCCCCCATCTCTACAAAAAATACAAAAATTAGTTGGGTGTGGTGGTGTGCGCCTGAAGTCCCTGCTATTCAGGAGGCTAATGCAGGGAGGGTTGCTTGAGCCCAAGAATTCAACTCTGCAGTGAGGCATGTCAGTGCCATGGGACTCCAACCTGGGTGACAGAGGGAGACCCTGTCTCAAACAAAACAAAAAAAAAACCAAGGCCAGGCTTGGTGGCTCACGCCTGTAATCCCAGCATTTTGGGAGGCCACAGTGGGTGGATCTCAAGGTTGGGAGTTCGAGAACAGCCTGACCAAATGGTGAAACCTCATCTCTACTAAAAATACAAAAATTAGCTGGGCGTGGTGGCGTGTGCTTATAATCCCAGTTACTCAGGAAGCTGAGGCAGGAGAATCGCTTGAACCCAGGAGGTGGAGTTTGCAGTGAGCTGAGATCGCGCCATTGCACTCCAGCCTGGGCGACAAAGCGAGACTTTGTCTCAGACCAAAACAAAACAAAAACAACACACACACACACACACACACACACACACACACACACACAGAACCAAAAGACAAAACCATTACAAATAAGGCTCAAGTATCCTCTGACAGCACCCTGATTTCACAGCACCTTCTCTAGAAGTAATTATGGTTATAAGTTTGGGTACATCAGCCCAGACCTTTTATTTTATATTTACATATCATTTTAGTGCTCTCTTGCTATAAGTTAACATGAGTTTTCAGAACTTTCAAAGGTCTTGTCGCTGCCACTGTCCAATTTTCTGGAGCTGACTGGGCAGATTGGATGCAGTCATATATTTTGTGTGTGTGTGTGTGTGTGTGTGTGTGTGTGTGTGTGTGTGTATGTGTGTGTGTGTATTTAAAGAGTGTCTTGCTCTGTGACGCAGGCTGGAGTGCAGTGGCGGGATCATAGCTCACTGCAGCCTTGAACTCCTGAGCTCAAGTGATCCTCCTGTCTCAACCTCCCTAGTAACTAGGACTACAGGTGTATGCCACCATGCCTAGCTAATTTTTGAGTGTTTTTTTTTTTGTAAAGACTGAGTCTCACTGTTTGCCCAGGCCAGTCTCAATTCCTGGGCTCAGCCGATTCTCCTGCCTTGGATTCCCAAAGTGCTGGGATTATAAGAGTAAGCCACTTCACCAGGCTCAGATGCAGCCTTCAGGTTGATATTACAACTGTGATTCCAAACCAATGCTATTCTTCCAGCAACCTTTATTCTTTTCTTTAACTTGAGTCTTCACTGTTACTTTATTGAGTAGATAAAAAACAAATAGACTATTATATTTTTATGTATATCACGTGTGTGTGTGTGTGTGTGTGTGTGTGTGTATTTATATATATATATAATATTTAGGAGAGAGAGAGAGAGAGTCTCATTATGCTGCCCAGGCTTGTCTCAAACTCCTGGGCTCAAGAGATCCTTCTGTCTCATCCTCTCAAAGTGCTAGGATTCTAGGCATGAGCCACCACACCTGGCCAGAAATATTGTTTATAACAAGCTGACATTACAGTTGAATCTGTGTACTTAAAGGCCTCATAGGACTTTGGGAACATTGACTTTGAAGAATTTGACATGCTTGCTGAAGATTGTTGAGGTGCCTTTGAGAAATTTTCTGGATTGATTCTTTTTGAGTTGTATCTTGAACTACCCTGAACTTCCAAAGACCCCCTAGGAGAGCCAGATAGTTGGATTCATAACATAATCTAGACTTCATCTCATTTTAGCATTACAAATTTTATGAGTATAGAAAATCTTGGTGCTGAAAAGTTAAATCACAATTCTAACCTCATCAGATACTGATTTTTAAGCATAAGTATGCTCTGGGTAACCAAATATTAACCAGCAGACTATTCTCTTAACTGTTTTGGTAGGTTTGCCAGGATGGTGGATAAGAATATTTACATCATTCAAGGGGAGATTAACATTGTGGTTGGGGCCATCAAACGAAATGCCCGATGGAGCACCCATACACCACTGGTAAGTGGGAAATGGATAAATAGCCTGGTCACTAAGTGTTTGTAGGGGATCTGTTGCGTGGTTAAAAGAGTAATCAAATTCCCAGTAATAATGAGAATAGTAGGATTTCAGAGTTGTTCTTAATATCTTGTTTTTTGTTTTATCCCAACTAGCATCAGATATATAGGCTGTCTTTTTTTCTCTGGGACCCAAAAGATGACACAATTCTTCTGGATATTTTTGTAAACAGCTTACGCTAATTCTGTGCTTAGGACCTCTTTACTATGCCCGAAAGTGTCAGAAAGATTTCTTATTTTCTGATTCTGTAGGGCTGTCATAAGCTATCAAATTTATTTAAATCAGGGTAGTTATTGATACATAGAACATGTCTTAGTGATGGTACTCCTTCTTGGGAGTTCAGCAAACTTCCATATACGGAGTAAGCCATATCTTGCCAATCAGATGAGTAAGAATATATCTTACCTGTTATACAGTTGGCTTTCTTTGTTATATATGTATGTTTGAGGATTTTATTTGTAGAATTGGGTAAGACGATTTTTGGCGCAGTTGTAAAAACAAGTTTAGAAATTGCCAACTTGGAAGTTTATATGAACATATTTATTTGGTAAGTGCATTTGGAAATTTCTCAAGTTCTTTGATAAAAATGTATTGGTTTAGAAGTGAGAATGGCATCAGGAATATCTTTGAAATGAATATGTATGATCATATAATGAGTATTAAAAAAGGAGAGAAGACAGAGTAATACACATATAAAGAATCTGGCAGTCCGTAGTAGCTTGAGTGCTATGGTGATGATATAGATTAGCACTTAAGGATTCACTGTTTTGGGTAAGTCCAGAGTATCTCTATGAAATAAGAGATTAGGGAACAGAAAAATATGAACTATGGCTAATTTTCTTTTCCTCAGAAGGAAAACTTAAAGTATTTTCTGATTGGATTCAGAGAAGGAGCTTTTGATCTGTCCTTTATTGTCCTTTTCCTCTTTTGGCACAAGAATGACTTACTTTTAATCTGTGTGTTCTACAGGATGAAGAACGGGATCCTCTGCTGCATAGTTTTGGTCATCTAAAGGAGGTTTTGAACAACATAACAGGTAAGTCTCCACATGTATCTGGATTACCAGGCCTGGTAAAAAATAGTGTTTGATTTATTGAAAGGATGGATAGCCAGGCATGGTGGCTCATGCCTGTAGTCCCAGCATTTTGGGAGGCTGAGGCGGGCGGATCACGAAGTCAAAAGATTGTGACCACCCTGGCCAACATGGAGAAACCCCGTTGCTACTAAAATACAAAAAATTAGCTGGGCATGGTGCTGCATGCCTGTAGTCCCAGCTACTCAGGAGGCTGAGGCAGGGGAATTGCTTGAATCTAGGAGGTGGAGATTACAGTGAGCCGAGATCATGTCACTGCACTCCAGCCTGGCGACAGAGTGAGACTCTGTCTTGAAAAAAATCAAAAAGAGAAAAGACGGACAAACTATTTCTGTAAAAGACTTTATAGTAAAGGCCAGGTGCGGTGGCTCAGGCCTGTAATCCTAGCACTTTCAGAGGCCGAGATGGGTGGATTACCTGAGGTCCCGAGTTCAAGACCAGCCTGGCCATCATGGTGAAACCCCATCTAAAAAAAAAAAAAAAAGACTTTATAGTAAATAACTTAGACTTTGTGGGCCATATATAACTGCACAACTACTTTACTCTGCCTTTGTAGCTCAAAAGCAGCCATAGCTAATACATAAATGAATGAGCAATATGTATTTCTTTTTTTCTTTTCTTTCTTTCTTTTTTTTTTTTTTTTTAGAGACAGGGTCTTGCTATGTTGCCCAGGCTGGTTTCAAAAGCCTGAACTCAAGCAATCCTCCTGTCTTGGCCTCCCAAAGTGTTGGGATTCCAGGCTTAGTGCCTGGCCTATATTTTCTTTCCTTTTTTTTTTTTGAGACTGAGTCTTGCTGTGTTGCCAGGCTGGAGTGCAGTGGCATGAACTTAGCTCACTGCAACCTCTGCCTCCTGAGTTCAAGCAATTCTCCTGCTTCAGCTTTTCAAATAGCAGGGATTACAGGTACACACCACCATGCCCACCTAAGTTTTGTATTTTTAGTAGAGATTAGGTTTCACTATGTTGGCCAGACTGGTCTCAAACTCCTGACCTCAGGTGATCCACCCGCCCCAGCCTCTCAAAGTGCTGGGATTACAGGCATGAGCCACTGCACCTGGCCTATGTTTTCTTTGAAAGAAAGAATCTGCAAGCCAGATTTGGCCCATGGGTGCAATTTTCCAACCCCTGGTTTATTGCATTGCTTTCAGTCTTCATGATCTTTCAATCTTCATGTATTACAGAGTCATTTGTCCCTTTGTTTGCCTCATTTTCCTAATCATGATAAGCTTATGTAATATATTCATATGTTTAGAATTTTCAAAGCCATTTTCACATTTATTACCTTATTGAACTTTTATCCAACCCTGTGAGAGAGGCATGACAGTTATTGTCCCCTTTTTATGAAAGAATTTGAAGCCCAGTGGGGTTTAAAGTGATTTAGCTTAGGTCACACTAATCTTAAAAGGTAGAGTTAAAACTAGAATTCAGGACTCTGATGCCTGGTTTAGGGCTCTTTCCTCTGCTCTATATTGCTTCTGTATATGTGATTAGAGGAGAATATATACACTAAGTGCCTTATATTGTGTTTGCGTATGTGTGTGTGTATGTATATATATAAAATACATACATACACATGCACACACAAACACAAACACTGGCAGGGAAGGAGGAAAGTGTCAAAACCAAGGGGATGTAGATACAGACTGAAAGGGAGAGTCTCAGAGCTATGTTCATGTGTTGACTGTAAAGGGCTCCTGCAGTGTATAACACTGGAATGCTTTTTACTAGTGACATATGTCAGACTATCATTGGATAGTGTTTAGGCTTATGCAAATTAAACAAACAATAAGCAAGAAAATTTCTTCTTTTCATTAGAAATGTGGGAGAAGATCTGGAGAAAAATTCTCTTTTACTTTGCTAAACATGGGCTGAAGTTATCTAAGGGTTCCCTACATATTTTCTTTTATTCTTTTTTTTGAGACAGTGTCTCTCTCTGTTGCTCAGGCTGGAATGCAGTGGTGTGATCTTGGCTCACTGTAATCTCTGCCTCCAGGTTTAAGTGATTTTCATGTCTCAGCCTCATGCGTAGCTGGGATTACAGACGTGCACCACCACACCCAGCTAATTTTTGTGTTTTTACTAGAGACAGAGTTTCACCATGTTGGCCAGGCTGGTCTAAAATGCCTGACCTCAGATGATCCATTCGCCTTGGCCTCCCAAAGTGCTAGGATTACAGATGTGAACTATCACACCCAGCCCATATTTTCTTTTTGTGCAGTGGTATGATCTTGGCTCACTGCAACATCCGCCTCTCAGGTTTGAGGGATTCTTCTGTCTCAGCCTCCCAAGTAGCTGGTACAGTCATGCACTACCGCGCCTGGCTAATTTTTGTATTTTTAGTAGAGACGGGGTTTCATCGTGTTGGCCAGGCTGGTCTCGAACTCCTGACCTCAAATGATCTACCCATGTTGGCCTGCCAACCATATTTTCTTTAAAGGAGCAAATTTCACTCAATTGAAACAGCTTTGGAAATGTTAGCCAAGAAGGACCAAGTATAGAGGAGGCAATTGTTAACTAGTTAGCTGGGCTAATGCTGCTACTAGGTGGCAGGTTCTTATTTTACAACCTGTACTTATGGGTAATTGGCTGCTTTAGAATGTTGGCTACTTGCACAGATTTTTTTTTTCTTTAATTTTACAGATAAAGCTTACATATCCTAACTAGAAAGGAAAGATAATGAATGGAGATTTACAGTTCTTTTTGTTTGGTTTTGAATTCAGAGTACTATCTTCTTAAGAGATGTTAAGAGGATCAAACAAGTTAATAACAATAGGAACACTTGGTAAACATCTTATACACAGTGAAGGATTGTTATAAGTGGCCAGGAATACCCTAAAATGACTGAGCTCACACTGGAGTAGCCTTGTAGGCCTATTGGGCACTCTGCAAACCTTGAGGAGCTAAGGTCGTTCTGCTATCCTGACAGAGCCACAGTTCCTGTCTCCCATCAAATCCAGATCCCCTGCTTATTTTCTTCATCCTAACATGTCCCAAGATTTTACCTCAGAGACCATATCTGTGGTGAGTGATGCAGTCTAGGAATTGTAGACTATTTAAGAGCTAGCAAAGTTGAATCTGCCGCCTGATTTTCTTAGGTCCTTGGGTTAGAAATCCAGCCAGATTATCTGCTCTTGGAAGTAGTAAAACCAGAGTGTTTAGGAGCCAGTTCTGTCACTGGTAGTAGGAACATTGCTGGGTGTTGCTAAGCTTTCCCCTGGAGTGAGAAGGAAGGTAGTAGTGTTTTCCAAGGCCAACAGCTGTGGCATATGTTGAAATGGTGCCTGCCAAGGTTGCTACATTGTTCTTAGGTTTTAGCATATTACCTGCCTGAGAAAATGACAGAGTGGACCTAAAATAGAGCATTTCATGGTCTTCACAGTGCTTCTGACCCCACACACAGTGCTGGTTCCCAGGAGCAGGTTTATGGATCAGCTGTCCCTGTGGTCCTGGACTCTGCAACCCATGACTAATTCTTGTTTCTTTTACAGAAACAAACAGATTTTTCTGATTGGCAGTGTCAGGAGGACTGCTTTCCTGGAAGCTTATTAATGGTAGAAAGCTGGGAAAGGGTTTTGAATTTGGAGAGAAAACTGAAGGGAATGTGCTTGTGTTATATGACGACTTAAGGTATACCTCTTAGATTGGAGGAGGGATAGCAGGAATTCTAGGCTTCTATGCAGTTTAACTCATGAAACTGACTTGGACATGGTCCTTTTTTTCAAAGGATTTCTGTTTGCATTTTTCTAGGCTTTCTGTTGGCTTGGTTGGTAAGACTATCACTGATGGAAATGGGTGGTTCATTGGACGTTGTCAGTAAACCAAAATGATTTTGTTTTATTTTCTTGTAGAAAGAATCTTTAAAATATGTAAGTACTACCTACACTACTCCTCCAGGAATATTATCTGATTATTGTGAAGGAAATAAGTCCTTTTCTCCAGTAAGGTTAGCTAAGTGCATACTAGTTATTCTCACAGATGTATGTCGTTGGACCACATTTACAGTCAGTATTTGCCCAAAATATGTGATGACTACATGTTCTATAGCATTTAGAGTAATAAGATATTCTAATAATACCAAATTTGAAAAGAGGATTGCCCTCAGAAGAAAAAGGATGTCCAACAGCAAAGTTTGCATATTGTTACTTTGGATGAAGCCTTAGCTTACCACCAGTGAGAGAGACTTGACTGCACTCCCTCATTTGGCCTTGAAGTCCTCTCAGGACTCCTTTTAGATTATTCTGAAGGAGTTAAAACAGTTGTGTGGTTACCAGGGGCTGGGAGGGGATATGGAGAGTGACTGCAGGTGGGTACAGGGTTTCTTTTTGGGGTGATGAAAATGTTTTAGAATTAGATAGTAGTGATGGTTGCATAATTTTGTGAATATACAAGAAATCACTGAATTGTATACTTGAATAATATCTCAATTTATAAAGGAGGCAAATGTAGGTGTCAGAAGTGATGGATTTGCCAGTTTTTTCTTAGGGCTCAGAGCTGTGAAGGGAAGTCTCTATAGTCACTGTTGTACTTTGGACCCATTGCGCAGCAAAGGCAGCATAAGGTACTGTTCAGCTTCTGGCCCAGTTTGTCCTTTTATGTCTCTCTCATTAACTCAAGGAAGCACATGGCTTTTATATTTAAATTTATTCAAACTGTAATCTTTGACATTTGAGTTAGCTTTTAGTACAGTTTTGCATTTATAGTAATATATATTATGTATTTTCTCTATCCCCAAAGAATCTGTTTTAATCTTTTCCGGATGCAAATTTCAGGCTGTCTTGTCCCATCTCCCCTCTCTTGCTCTCTTTCCCCTCCCCCCACGGAGTGTGTTTGATCAGGTGTGGCAGGAATATCCACTGTCAAGCTGCGCCCTTTATATTAGTCAATATTATCCTTCTCCCCCCTCCCTGTCTGTCTGCCCCTTTGGGCTTTCCCAGTTGATTTA